GCAGTTGGGTTTAATTAATCAGCAAAGCTGCCCAAAACAGTTCCTCTGGAAATTGGTAAGATAGGCCTTTTTTCATTAGGTCAAGATAAAACTAGCCAAGCTAGTGTGATTTAGCACTTGAGTGTGACTTATTTTAGACTACGGAAGTTAGGTGATTACTAGAGTGAGGAGAAGAAGAGAAAGAAGTGCTTCAGTGCTTTTGTTTTGTCTTTTCAAACTTCCATGAGTTAATCTTATTTTGAAATGGGAGAAGCTGCTAGTTATTTGGTGAATATCTAGTAAATGACGAATGTTTATTGCATTCCCAATGTTCCACATAGAATGGCAACTGGTGGTAAAGTTAATAAAATTGATAAAGCCATAAACAAATGTAGAATTGAATAAAATAATTTAGTCAATTAGAACACAATGTGGATGGCAGGATGAGTGATATGTCATAGTTGCAGCATATGGGAGCTTCTGCATGTCAGTTTGATCCAGAGCAATCATAGCTGCTCTAAGTGTTTGAGTTCAGGCATGTTCAGCTCAGCTTTATGGAGGATGTGCTGCAAATGCTGCAATTCATCCACATACACTTTGGTAAAATCAGATGAACAAAGGCAGCCTCGGTGACAAGTTCACATTATGTTTTCAGGATAATGCTTAGAACATGTCCTGGAGTCTAGCAGAGAACAGGCTATACTAGATCTTGTGTTGTGCAATGAGATAAGATTAATTCATGTTCTCACAGTGAAGGCACCCCTAGGTAGCACGGGCCATATTGTGATTGAATTTTACACTCAGATTCAGAGAGAAAAAAGTGAGCCTGAGACTATTTTTTAAAACATAAATCAGGGCAATTATGATGGTGTGAAAATAGATCCATCTAAAGTGAATTGGCAAACTTGGTGGAAGGATAGATCAATGGAGAAGCAGTGGCAGACATTTAAGTGGATATTTCAGATGCATTGCAATGAGTAAGAAAAGTTCCAAGGGGTGGACCTAAAGCTTTTGGTTAACTAGAACGGTTAATGGTAGCATCAAACCTAAAGAAACAGCATACAATTGTATAAAGATGGGTGGCAAGTCAAGAGATTGGACAGAACATAAAAATCAGTAAAGAATGACTCAAAAAATAATGAGGGGGGAAAATTAGTGTACGAGAGAAAGCTAGCTCAAAACATAACATCAGTTGGCAAGCATTCATGTAAATATTCAGAAATAAAAGGTTTAACAAAATAAAAATAACATTCAAAGTGAATCTGGAGCATTGGTAATGGAAGATAGAAAGATGGCATTGATCTTCACTACAGAGGATACAAGGAATATTCCAAATGTAGCCAAAACGCAGGAAATGGAATGGTGGAGGAACTCAGAAAAACTGCAATCAGACGAGATGTAGTACTAAATAAATTATTTGATCTTGGTAGATCTTTTCAGTCTATATATAAATTAAAATATCCTCATGATTGTATCCATGCCTTTCATACAGTAACCTCCCATTACTTCTACCTTCATGCTCCATACTTCTATGTGGTTATTGTTAGGGGCCCTGTGCATCAATTCCATAAGTGACCACTTTATCATTTCATATTTCTCCCCAGACTGTTTTAACATCCAGGTTTCCTGAACTGATGTCAATCCTCTCTATTATGCTAATACCATTGTTAAGTAAGATATCTCTCCACTTTTTCCTCTCTTCATCTCTTCCACAAATGTCCTGTACTCTTCAACATTTTGGTCTCAGTCCATTCCATCCATTTCTCCAAAATGGCTACCAGATTGTATTTATCTATTTCTAGTTGTGCTCTCAATTCATCTGAATGCTGTGTTCATTCAGATACCAAGTCTTTAGTTTTACCCTTTTATTCCTTTTGAAACCTCCAGCCTTACCTGTTCATTTACTCTTAAATTTGTACTCACTATCTCTTCCTGTCTTGTTCTGATTACCATTTCCTATATTGACAATTTCAGCTATGTCTCTACTCTTTGATGTACCACATCTTCCCAAATTGATCCCTTGCTTCCACTATTTAGTTTAAAATACTCTCTACTTTCCTTAGTTAGGTTTGCAAGAACACAAGTCCCAGCATGGTTCAGGCAGAGACAATTCCAATAGTACAGATCCCACTTTGCCCAGGACTGATACTAATGACTTACAAACCAGAACCCAGTTTCCTCACACCAGTCTTTTGGCCAGGCATTTATCAATCTAATCTGATTTTCCCTGTGAAATTTTCATGTAGCTCAGATAATAATCCAAAGGTTATGACCTTTGAGGTTCTGCTCATTGATTTGATGCCTACCCCCTTCATACCAACTGTCTTCTTTGTCCTGTCAATGTCATTAGTGCCTGCATGGACCATGAAGGCTGGATTCTCTCCTACCATTCTAAGCTCCTCTCCAGCCCACTGCAGGTGTTCTGAAACTTGGCACTAAGCAGGGAGCACAGCCCTCAGGACTTACACTCTTTTCTGCAGATGTGAATGCCAATCCCTCTGACAGCACTGTCCCCTAATATGACTATATTCATCTTTGTCTTCCCAACTTGAATGACTTCCTCCATAGTCAGTTAGCACACCCATCCTGCAACTCTTATATAAACATGCTAAAAGAACAATTGAAAAGGCTGATAATCCTACACTCCTGACTTCCTAGCAGTCACAATCACCATCACTTTTGATCCAGAGATGCCGGTGTTGGACTGGGGTGGACAAGGTCAAAAATCACACAACACCAGATAATAGTCCAACAGGTTTATTTGAAAACACCAGCTTTTGGAGTCTCACTCCTTCTTCAGGTGTTAGTGAGAGAGGTGGCATCAGACACAGAATTTATAAGCAATATGTCAAAGGGTCATAGAGATGATGCGAATATATTGAACAAACCTAAGATGGTTGTTAAATCATTAATCAGTTAGGAAGGAGATGCAGGTTTCCATTGATTCATATGCGAATTTCTTCCGAGTCACTGTCCCGAGACAACTAAAGGTTTTATCAGTAAACCAGAGGTGACATCTCAGGTCGGACAATGCATTTTAGATATGAGGTCTTGTTTATAATCTGTCTGTGTTTTAACATGGAATCAGACTGGTTTTATTTCCAAAATAGGATTTTATAAAATGTCACATTGACTACCTACAATTTTGGTGCTTTTTGAATAAAAGAGAACGTATCTGCAATTACAAATCTGCAAATGCCATTGTTAAGTAAGATATCTCTCCACTTTTTCCTCTCTTCATCTCTTCCATAAATGTCCTGTATCCTTCAATATTTTGGTATATATCCTATATCCTTTTTCTAAGTGCTTTGCTTTCCTATGACAGTTGCAAAAGTAACTGGCTGTACTTTCCTGCTTTCTGCCTGTCACCCTTTTTTTGAATGAATGACATATGTTCACTATTTCCTAATTTAAAAGAATCTTCCCAAATATATGGATTTTTAGAACTGCAACACTCATCTCACTTGCAAATTCTTTTAAGACTATAGGATGAAATCTGTCAAGATCCAGGGACTTGTCAGTCCACAGTGCCAACAATTTACTCAGTACCACTTCTCTGATGTTTTTATTTTTGAATGCTTCCTTTCTTTCCTTTCCTGAATTATTGCTATTTATGCACTGTTAACTTGTATCCTCTAGAAAGAAGACCGATGCAAAATACCTATTCAATTCATCTGCCATCTCCCTACTTTCTGTTATTAATTCCCCAAAATCAGGCTCTATAGGGCCAACACTCGCTTTATCAACATTTTAAAAAAAACATATTAGTTATGCCAATGTATATGTAAACTGCAGCAAACATATTTTCTACAATAAATCACAATTCATTGCTAAATAAAAAACAATATTTTCTCTTAGTTGGTTGTGTCATTGATTACATCTAGTATACAGCACAAGTATGCCTTCCAGGCTATAATAAAACACTTTTTGAAATGGAACTTTTGCCATCTCTATTTATAATGTGATCACACGAAATAACATTCTTGTAGTGACTAATGTTTTTTAACCAACTTTCACTGTTAATCTGCATTCGCGTAGCAAGTGAGAAACAATTTGCAATGGAAGTTCTCACTTTTATTTCATGTAAAGTAGCATGATAGTCTTTAAATCAATCACACGCTGATTTCAAAAAATTTGGAGTTCCATGAAAACAAAACAGCACGGTGGCACAGTGGTGAGCAGTGCTGCACCATAGCACCAGGGACCTGGGTTTGATTTCAGTCTTGGGTGACTGTTTGTGTGGAGTTTGCACATTCTCCCTGTGTCTGCGTGGGTTTCCTCCAGGTGCTCTGGTTTCCTCCCATAGTCCAAAGGTGTGTAAGTCAGGTGGATTGGCCATGCTAAATTGCCCTTCATGTCCAGGGATGTGCAGGCTGGGTGGGTTAGCCAACGGGAAATGCAGGGTTGAGTGGGATGGCCTTTGGAGGATCGGTGTGCATGTAATGGGCTGAATGGCCTGCTTCCACACTATAGGGGTTCTATGATGAAGGCAACTAAAAGCAAGTTATTAATATTAACAAATATATTGTTCCTTATTTGATTTTCAACTTAAATTAGTATCTCTACCACAGGTTCAATAGAGTCCCATTCAGTCACCAGTACTTACTGATCAGCTCATGGAATCTTGACAAATATATTTACTCCCTTAGCTCCAGAATAAAATAAATCTCCTTTCATCAGTCCTCTTGTTATTTACAGTCTTTTAATATCGCAAACAGGTTGTAGAAAATTAAACGTTACACAAAGCATGCTCAATAAACCAAGCACTGCACTTCAATGATTGATTTCAACATTGATATTATTTCTTTCTCAGCATTCTCCATTTTACTCAAAAATATCTCATTTATATTCAGTTTTATGGTGATGTAACCATTTTTTGTTTCAGGTGTAGATCTTTGCCTCCAACTTACTATAAATAAATATTCCCATTATGTGACTGAAACTACTCCGACCTAAACAGTTGGAACTAAACAGTTGTAACAGTAGAAAACATTACATTCCATAATGCAGAAAAATCTTACTATTTTTTGCTTTTCTGATCTTCTACTTGCTTGTTGATACATAGTTTACCGAAATATTTCACATGGTATTCATTGCCCAGCTGTCCGTTTAAAGCATCTTTTGTGGTTCTCTCCTCCTGTGATCTGTTCAGAAAGGCTGCTCCTTCATATCTATTTTCTTATTTAAAGGCACCAATGCATGGACAAAAACAAGCCAGGCTGGTACCAGAAGCAATACCAATAAAAATCTTTGAAAACCAACTAAATATCTCCCCCTATAGGTTAAAAAAAAACTGTTGTCTCTCCATTGTTTTGAAAGGGATGGTATCAACAAAAATGAAAGCATGTCAATGAAGAATTCATAAATGAAGAAACTTTCAAAATCAGACAGTCATTAAGTAAACATCTTGAATATCTATGCAAAAATATTTCCTACATGGAATCTGATAGATTTTATGATGGCCAAACTCGTTATACTATCAATAGTATACTAAATTTAATTAGTGTGAGAGCCTTCGCAACTCATGAGGCATTTTGGAAAAATGAAGAGTTGAACCAGTAATTACTAGCACCTGCACAAAGAGACCACTTGTCTATAAACAATTTACAATTCTTGATGACACTTCTAACTTCATGCATGGCAGAAGTATGATTATGTGGATAAATGTGAGGATATTCACTTTGGTAGCCAGAATAGGAATGCAGATTATTGTCTGAATGGTGACAGATTGGAAAAAGGAGAGGTGCAATGAGATTGGGTGCTCTTGCACACCAGATGCAGGAAGTAAGCAGACAGGTGCAGCAGGCAGTGAAGAATGCAAAAGGTATGTTTGCCTTCATAGCAACAGAATTTGAATACAGGAGCAGAGATATCTTGCTGCAATTATGAAGGGCCTTGGTGAGAGCGCACCCAGAAAATTGTGTGCAGTTCTGGTCTCCTTATCTAAGGAATGATGTTCTGGTTATGGAAGGAGTACAACATAAGTTTACATCCCATCCTGGGATGGCAGGACTGATGTATAAAGACAGATTGGATCAGTTAGGACTATATTGACTGGAGTTTAGAAGAATAAGGGATTTCTCATAGAAACATATAGAATTCTAACAGGTGTAGACAGGGTAAATATGGGATGGATGTTCTCGATAACTGGGGACTCCAGAACTAGCAGTCACAGTTTAAAGATGTGGGGTAGGCCACTTAGGACTGAGATGAGGACAAATTGCCTCACCAAAGAGTAGTGAGCATAAGGAATTTGCAGCCACAGTTGAGGCCAAGACATTGAATATTTCTTAGGGCGAAGGGGATCAAAGGGTATGAGTGGCAACAGGATACTGAGTTGGATGATCACCCATGATCATACTGAATAGCAAAGCAGGTTTGAAGGGCTGAATGGCCTACTCCTACACCTATTTTCTATGTTTCTATGTTTTCTTGCAGCCTGCCTCTTGCAAGGATTCAATATCAGACATAAATACTGTAATCCATTTTGTGATTACCAGCTCCCCGACCAGTGTTCCTTCTAATTTGCTTACCACTTTGCAGGTTTCCAAGACCAGTGCATGTCAGCACTTTCTGGAACCAGAAGTCAATGCCAGACACCAATTGCCACATGCAGAACACTGGAGCTGCTGCATGCATACACAACCATGTAGCTTTGAGGGAATATTCCTCCACTTCCTCCCATCTTGTTTGTGCGTTATTGGCTTTGCTCTCAGCAGAACTGACCTACTTCCTCCTATCAAACTACCACTAACAGCTATTTTACATCTCCATCACTTCTTTACCACTATTAGCTCTCCTTTTCTTTTTTGCTCTGGGCACCCTCACCACCTGTTCCACTTGCTCCTCTTTTGCCTTTGTCAACACCATCAAAAACATAATTTTCGAATCCCTTCAGTTTCACTGTGTCATTGAACTCAAAATGTGAAATTGGTTTCTCTCTCCACAGATGTAGAGTCATGGAGATGTACAGCATGGAAATGGACCTTTCCGACCAGCTCGTCCATGCCAAGCAGATATCCTAAATTAATCTAATTCTATTTGCCAGCATTTGGCCCCTATCCCTTTAAATCCTTCTCATCATGTAACCACCCAGATGCCTTTTCAAATTGTAATTGTACCAGCCTCCACTTCCTCTGGCAGTTCATTCCATAAATGCACCACCCTCTGCATGAAAATGTTGCCCCTTAAGTCCCTTTTCAATCTTTCCACTCTCACCTTAAACCTATGCTCCTCTAGTTTTAGACTCCCTTACCCTGGGGAAAAGACCTTGGCTATTCACCCTATCCATGCCCTTCATGATTTTATAAAACATGTTGAATTTCTACAGCATTTTCTGTTATTATTTCAGATTTCCAGCATCCTCAAAAAATTGCTTTTATACAATTTGAAAGTGATTATTTGCTATATTAGGTTCCATTCCAATAGGGAACTGTCTGATTGAAAACTGACCACCTTAATTTCATGGTACATGAAACTGTGCTTCAAAATCTACAAAGAATATTTATCTGTGAGTGCTTGAAATATTTGAGAACTTGTATTTTCATAACATATTCTAAAATACTTTATAACTAGTGGGTTACTGTTTGAAGAGTGGCTGAAGGGAAGGGTTGGGGTAGCTAATTTGAAGTCTGTTGCCTATTGTAAATGAAATGGTAGCATCCTGAAACCTATGGCTCTGCAGCCACTACACTTTACTTCCAGTTTGTGGTGATGACATTTGCCTGTTTTAATTAGGATGCAAATTTTAACTTTATGCTTAAAATGGATGGCGCCTAAGAAGAAAGTTCTTGCCATTTGCCCAACAATGTAGTTGAGCTTTTCACCTGAAAATATCTTTGGCTTCATGGCTGTAACGATGAACAAGTTTGGAAGCATTCTGCATGGAACTGCCCACTGTGTGCCTAGAGTTAATTTCACTGCATTGAAACACTAAGATGGCTAGTTACGGTTTCAGAAAGCATTTCATGTTTAAAGCACGGGTGAACAGGTCTAAACCAAAGTGGTATTATAAATATTTTGAATAGTTTGTGTCTAATGCCAATTTGTCCAGAAACAAGGAGAAGTTAATTTGTATCATCCTCTTGTGAAATCCTTCCAATCAATGTTATTTTCAAGAACTTATGGGATATTCCACACAAAACCCATTCTATCTGTACACAACATGCCTTGCAGATAGCTTTAACTGATTGGCTATTTTTGATCAAGATTGTAGAATTAGGGCTAGTGAACTATTGCAGCAAGCTCTGATCTCCTTATAAACTAGAAATTTTAACCTTCTTTGGGATTCCTACTGGAAAATTATACTAGGGCAACAAATCTTGCAATGAACATCAAATATAGAAATGTTAAAATTTATCATAAGTTGCTCTGGTGTACCAAACGATTTTGTCTCATTTGATCACCCCAAATTACTTTCCTTTTTATCTTGCATTAATAGGAATTTGCTACTACAACAAGACAGATGATTTTAAGGTTTACCTATCTCCAAGCATTCATATGGTATTCAATAATGTTTCTGCACTATAAATATTCATTTCTCTTTAATGATTACTAAATGCAGAATATATACTGTAAGCATTTTTTCATGCAAGGATTTTTCTTTGAAATACAGTTGGACTGCAAAAATATCAAGGGTAACCTTGAAAGCCCATTACTCGGTGCAATAATGTGTATTAAATTTTAAGACCAGTACAGGGAGTGCTTACAGAAAACAAAGGCTGTCCAGTGAGTCCATTTCTTTCTATGGTTAATGGGTAGATCTTGAGGAAATTGACTGCCAGAGGTACCTTTACTAAGTGTATTTGTTCAATCATCTTTTTGTCTTCATTCCAATAAAATACCAGAAGGGCAAAAAAACGACATTCTAAATGCAAACATTCAGATGTTCTCTTCTCTGAAAGCTCCAGGAATGCTATTTGCTCTGGTTAGCTACAGTGATAGATAGGAGGGCAGGGGTTGGGGGATGTGGGATGTGGATAAACTGGAAGATAATTTCTCATTTAATCTCTTTTTATTTTCCAAAGGCTTGAAAAATATTACCGAGACTTTTAATTTCAAGCCACTGATATGCCAATTTCTGTCACATAGATTATAGATGGTGGCAGAGTTGGATGCTGAACCCAGAACTCATCTGCTCCGCCAATTCTATTTCTTTATTTTTTTCTTCCTCTTTTCCTCCCTTTTTGGTTTTTCTCTCCTCCTTTGTTTCCTCGGACACCCAGCCTGAGCCTCCGAAGCGGGGTCAGTGATTGGCGGCCCAAAGCTGGGGCGCCAGCGATCAGCAGCCTGGTGTGAAATGGGGTCAGTGGTCAAACCACTCGAAAGCCCCTGCACTGGTCTGCTGTGGAGAGCTCTAGGAGGGAGTCGGTGATGTGTGTCTTTTTAAATTTACTTCTTGTTTTTCTGACTTATGGATATACTGTGTATAACTGTGATGTAACTTCTTTTTCCTCATTTCTCTATTCTGTAAATAAGGTTTGTACATAGGTACTCTGTACCCAAGATGGTGTCACATGTTGGTGACATTGTTACACTGTAACTAATCTTGTATCTGAAAAAGCTGTACCTAGGTACCTTTGTACCTAAGATGGCACTGTAGGTGGTGATTTTTCACTGTAATCATTTGAATACATATGACAATAAAGCTAATTCATTCATTTACTAATTAATTCAGAAGTCCAAATAAAATGGTGAATTAATATAAAACCTTAGTAAGGCTGAGTGAACCATTGGCTCCACAACATGCTGTGAAGTATTAGGGGGTGCAAAGTATTTTCTCCAGAAAGCTGCTTTGAATGAGGAAACGGGAGTAGTGTGCAGGTCCTCTAGTCATTTCTCCATGCCCTGTAGTTCTGCATTTTTCACTTCAGTTGTTCACAAGATGCTAACATGTTCAACTTCATTGAGCAGTAGACTATGGAAAAAAAATACATGAAGTAAGAACAAAAGAAATACTGTAAAGACTCAGCAGGTAAAGCAGCATCTGTGGACAGGAGCAGAGGGCTGCATTTTCCAAGCTCCTGAATGACATGGACCATGGTGAATCAGTTGGGAAAGTTGTTGCCAACACATGCCTGGGCATGATACACTGCTTGAAAATTTGTGTATGATTACTGGAATCAGCACCTATGCAGTTAAATGGCTTTA